TACATGCTCAACCAACATTGAGGAAGATGAAGCTGCGTAGGGCCAGACGGCAAAACCTTATTATTAATTCTTTTTGTTTTTGGGAGAGGTTTTTGCGATAGGGTGAGTGCGCTCGCCAGAAAGAGAGAGAAAGAGAGATAGAAAGTGAGAAATCACCCCCTAAGGGGATGGCCATGCCGTAATCCCTTCTCCTCCATTCTCCTCTCGGGATCTTGGGCACACACGCACATGTACCTGGCGTGAGTTTAAGCCACCAGGTCTGGGACTTGAACCATGGTCGACTATATGGGAGACCAGTGACATAGCCATTACACCAACTGCTGGTCCCAGATGGCAAAACTTTAAATGCAAAGGTAGAACTTGATCCTAGGAGGAGGGAAGAATTGTTTTTTAAAAGTCCCGAGTGCTTTTCTTTTCTTTTTTAAAAAGATTTATTTATTGGGAACCAGCAGTTAGCGTAATGGCTATGTCGCTGGACTCCCATGTAGTTGACCGTGGTTCACGTCCCAGACCCGGTGGCTTAAAACTCACGCTGGGTGCGTGTGCGTGCATGCGTGCCCAAGATCTTGAGAGGAGAAGGGATTGTGGCATGGCAATCCCCCCTCGGGGGTGATTTCTCGCTTTCTGTCTCTATGTCTCTCTGTCTGTCTGGTGAGTGCACACGCCCTATAGCAAAAATCTCTCTCAAAAAAAAAAGAATTATTTATTTAATTTTATTTATTCATTCATTTTTCATTTTGACCAGAGAGAGACAGAGAGAGAGAGAGAGAGAGAGAAGGAAAATGAGAAAGCAAGCCACCAGGTCCAAGACTCAAACTGTGGTTGGCCATGAGGGAGTGTCCAGCACTCTAATCACCACGCCACCTGCTGGCCCCCCGAGTGCTTTACAATGAGGTAAATGGAGTGACAGTGTGACAATATAAAGAAATATACGCTCTGGACTATTACCTAGCAGGAGAATGCACCAAGACAATGGCAGTCCGCAGAAACAGAAATATGCAATGGCAGAAAGCACAGGACTTAATGACTGACTGACTGGTTGTAGAGGACGAGCAAGATTCATGAGTCAAAAATCATGTTAAGTACTGAAATAAGATGTTTGGGGTCAGCAGGTGGCGTGGTAATTGAGGGCATTGGACTTCCACATGGCTGACTGAGGTTCAAGTCCCAGACCAAGCAGTTTGCTTTCTCACTTTCCCTCTCTCTCACTCTGTCTCTCTCTGGTCAAATTAAAATAAATAAATAAAGTTAAATAAAATAATTCTGAAATAAGATAGTTCAATACACATGAAGGGACTTTAAAAAGTTTCTGGAAAAATGAAATTAAAGTTTATTTTGGTGCAAAAAATTTTTAAAAATTCATGCATAGATTTTTCATAATATGAATTTTCCATTAACTTTTGAAGACCCCCTTGTACTATCTCAACTATTAGGTTGTCAGAAAAGTCATGACATATTTTTCTATATTTTTCTACACAAATAATGTATCAGGACTTTTCTGACAACCCAGTAATTATAATATTCATACATAACTCCCATCTCCCCAACCCCTCACACACATATATACACTCCCTTGTGTGAGTCTAGCACCTTAACCACAATGCCACCTGCCGGCCCTGGTTACAAAACTTTTACGAAAACAAAATCAGGGGCCAGCAGGTGGCATGACGTTAGGGGACTGGACTCCCACCTGGCCAACTGAGGTTCAGGTCCTGGGCCTGGCTACCTGTTTTCTCACTTCCCTTCTCTCTTTCTCTGTCTCTCTGGTGAGCATACGTGCCCTATAGCAAATTAAAAAAAATGAGTAATGGGGCCAGTAGGTGGTGTGGTGGTTAAGGGTGCTGGACTCTCACATGGCCGACTATGGTTTGAGTCCCAGACCTGGCGGCTTGTTTTCTTGCTCTCTCTCTCTTTGTGCTGTGTGTCCTACTGTGGTCAAATTAAAAATAAATAAATACATAAATAAGTACAGTTAAAATAATTCTTTATAAAAATAAAATAACAGTAATAATAAATACAATTAAATAATTCTTTTTAAAAAAAATCTGTATACATCATACCCTAGTTCTGGAGACAATAAGCTACTCTTATTTGGTCTTCTTCAATTCACTGGGTCTTCTCATGTTAGTGTCTTTGATCAACATGACAGCCCTGGCACAGCTAATATTATTTTCCCTAGCTCCTGGATGAGGAAGCAGAAGATCAGAAAGGTCACGTGACTTTCCCCGGGTCTCACAGTAAATAATATTGCTCCTCCTACCTCAGCCCACTGCTGGCAAGATGAGGTGAGTCTTAGCAGCTTGAGAGAGGAGACAGACACAAGACCGTACAGTACTGGATCTGCTCACGGCCCAGTGCTGCCAGTTCTGGGGACACCGTTAAACCAAGGGCCTCTCACCTGGCGATTCTGCAAGGTGCTCTTGTTTCTCTTCTCTGTCTTGAAACTGAATCAAATGTGACCACAGAGCCGACTTCCCCTGAAAGTACAGGACACATATAAAAATGTTCATGTATAAGAAATAATGCACTTAAAAATAATTACTCATAGAAACTATTCATAACAAAGTGGTCGTGGTGAGCCTGACTCATCCACTTCTCACTGTGTGGCATTCTGAGGGTCTTGCTGCGAGCACTACAAGCCTCACCCTTTGCCTCACAGAGAAGATCGGAGGACCCTGGGAGAGGGAAGGGAAACAGCCAAAGAAAGAGCCAGAAAGGCAAGCATGAAGATTTCTGCTGTGTGCTCTAGCGACTCAGAATGAATCTGTGCACAAGTATGTGTGAAACACATCTGGATACTGCGGTGGCAATGAGGGAAGGAAACTGGGGTGAGAGAACAAGAAAGGGAGGAACAATGAAACACGCACACATCAAAAAGTCAGAACGAGAGCCTAGAGAGACCAAGCAGAGAGATCGCTTGAATTGCTCCACCCTGAATTATGAGGTAACTTAATGGTAAAAAACTATTAATTCAGGCTAGATTTTTTCCTCTTAAACAGCAGCAAACACAGACATTGAATGGAATCTACAGAGCATACAGCATCTGCAATGAATGGGCTCCTTTATTCTTTCCTGTTTATCAAGAAGGATCTCCAAACCACCCCCATCATGTTTTTTTTTTTCCTTTTTCCCTGATACAAAAATGCCTGTGGCACATCTTCTGACAAAAGAAGCTGTACTCTTTTTTTTTTAAAGAGAGAGAGATTTTTGCTGTAGGGCACCTGTGCTCGCTTGTGATACAGAGAAAGAGAAAGTAAGGGGAATGGCTACACCACAGTCCCTTCTCCTCCATTCTCTTCTGGAGATTTTGAGCCCGTATGCACACATATTCGGTGTGAGTTTTAAGCTGCTGGGTCCGGGACTCAAACCATGGTCGACTAAGTGGGAGTCCAGTAACAACCATTCCGCCATCTGCTGGTCCCAAGAATGTGTACTTTCTATGTTCTATTCTTCCTAATGCTCCCACCTGCCCATGTCACCAGGACCTCTGGAGACTGTTACCTGCTTAACCTGCAAGCCGTGGCTCCATATCCTCTCCAGCAGGTCACAGAGGCTGGCAATCAAGGTGTTCTCCTCCAGGCCGGTGATATTGGCCTCGCCATGGCCCAGCTCCACGGCTTCATGACCCATCTTCTCAACCAACATGCGTTTTGTCTGAAACCATCAAGTGTGCGGGTGAGTTGCCTCAGTGGTAAGCCAAAAACCAAAGCAAACCAGGACTGCATCAGGAGGCCTGGCCTTCCTTTATTATATTCCCAACTGTGGATTCTGCATCACTTTGGGAGAACTGTCTTACTCACTCTGGCCAACTAGAGTAAAATCGTCTATATCCTACTATTTTGTCAGAGAAACGGAGAGTCACTAAAGAGAGAATAAGATATTTGTAAAGCATTCCCACATTGATAAAATGCTTATGTACAACAATTTCTAGATTGTTACCTTCGGTGACATTGGGGAATTATGCCATATCTAGAAACCGCGCGCATAGATTTTTCATAATATGAATTTTCCATTAACTTTTGAAGACCCCCTTGTACTATCTCAACTATTAGGTTGTCAGAAAAGTCATGACATATTTTTCTATATTTTTCTACACAAATAATGTATCAGGACTTTTCTGACAACCCAGTAATTATAATATTCATACATAACTCCCATCTCCCCAACCCCTCACACACATATATACACTCCCTTGTGTGAGTCTAGCACCTTAACCACAATGCCACCTGCCGGCCCTGGTTACAAAACTTTTACGAAAACAAAATCAGGGGCCAGCAGGTGGCATGACGTTAGGGGGCTGGACTCCCACCTGGCCAACT